GGCCTTTACTTTTCCATCTGTAAAATGGGGTAGTGATACCTGCTTCCCAAAGAGCTGTGGAGCATGAGAGTCACAGCTGCTAAGTATGGAGCGCTTGCAAAGTGGCCCCAGCAAAATGGCAGCTTATTCGCGTTATCTTACGTAGCCTTCCCAGGGCCCTACGAGGTAAGAGCTGTTAGCCCAGTTTCACAGGTGAGCACACTGAGGTTCTGGGGCGTTTGTAGTCACCCCACAGGGAAAGTGGGGTCTGACTCCAAATGTCTGCCACCATGCTATTCTGTGACCCCAACCTCCGAGGGGAGGTGTGTGTAGGGCCTGGCACATGGAAGCATGGCGTAGACCACATGTGTCAAACACAAGGCCCGCGGGCCAAATCCGTCCCGCCAGGCCTTGCAATGTGGCCCGCACCGCGCTGTCATCACTGCACTCCGCTGCGTTTCCATCACAATGACACTTTATGACTGTTCAGTAAACCATTCGGCCCTCGATTTAGGCTGGATTTTAGATTTTGGCCCCTTCTCTGATTGAGTTCGACACCCCTAGCGTAGACGGTAGGTATTATTAGTAATTACTCAGAACCCTGCTGTCAGTCCAATATCAGGAGACGGAATTTTCAAAAACCCTCCTTCAAAGTCTGCCCCTTGCCCTAACTGGTTTGGCTCAGTGGATAGGGCGTCGGCCTGGAGACTGAGGGGTCCCAGGTTCGATTCCGGCCAAGGGCATGTACTTGGTTGCGGGCACATCCCCAGTAGGGAGTGTGCAGGAGGCAGCTGATCGATGTTTCTTTCTTATTGATGTTTCTAACTCTCTATCCCTCTCCCTTCCTCTCTGTAAAATAAATAAATAAATAAATAATAAATAAATAAATAAATAAATAAATAAATAAAAAATCAGAAGAAGTAATCAAAGAAAAAAAAAGTCTGCCCTTTCTCCACTCACTGGAATATGAACACATTTCACTTCCTGGGTGTTCCTAAAGCGCCGCCGCCCGCCCGCGTCTCAGGTCCCCGCTCACCCAGGGACCCTCCTCCACGCCGTCCTCAGTCACGCTCCCCTCCCCCACCTCCCAACGTGCCTTGCTCAGGGCGGTGCGCCCCCATTTCTCTCTCAGGAGGACTCTGGATCGCGTCAGCCGCATGCTGACTGATGCGGGTCATTCGGCAACTATGTGCTGAAATACTGGAATTTCTGAGATGTTACCACGGTTTATGGGGCCATAATATTTGAGGTGGGAACCTGGGAACCGTCCTTGACACCTCCCTCCTCCTTGTCGCCCCTCCCTCTCATGCCCCACGACAGGCAAGGAAGGGAGGGCCCCAGGCCAGGCAGGTGGCCCCGGGGGGCACAGGCCCAACTCTGTGGTTTCTGAACATGAACCCGGTGCCACTACTTTGGGGGAGGGCAGTCAGGACTGTTGCGTTTTTTCATTGACCCAAAAGTTATGCAAAACGTCAATCCGTTGGCTGGGCCTGTGACGGCGTCCCGCCCCAAGGCCACTGCTTGCTCCTAGCCTGTGCCTCTCCCAGGGGCCCTGCCTGTCCCCTCACACCACAGCCAGAGCCATACTTCAGAGACCAAAGCCCCTCCCTCAGAACCATTGGCACCCAAGGAACCCATGCCAATCCATGGGGAACAGACAAAAGGCCCGTTAGGCCGAAACCGGTGTGGCTCAGTGGATAGAGCGTCGGCCTGCGGACTGAAGGGTCCCAGGTTCGATTCCAGTCAGGAGCATGTACCTTGGTTGCGGGCACATCCTCGGTAGGGGGTGAGCAGGAGGCAGCTGATGGATGTTTCTCTCTCATCCATGCTTCTAGCTCTCTATCCCTCTCTCTTCCTCTCTGTAAGAAACCAATAAAATGTAATAAAAAGAAAAGAAAAAAAAAAGACCCGTTAGGAAAACAGGCCCCTCCCGGCTGGCATGGCTCCGTGGTTGAGCGTCGACTTAACGTATGAACCAGGGCGTCACTGTTCGATTCCCACTCAGGACCCATGCCCGGGGTTGTGGGTTCGATCCCCAGTGTGGGGCGTGCAGGAAGCAGCTGATCAATGATTCTTCCTCATCAGTGATGTTTCCATCTCTCTCTCCCTCTCCCTTCCTCTCTGAAATCAATAATAAAAATATAATTTTTTTTTTTAAGAAAAAGAAAGAAAAAAACGGGCCCCAAAATATGCAAAGCAGTTCCCCTCTGGAAAAAGAAATGCAGGTGCCAAAAGCTTACAAGCAGCAGATTCCTCATCTTCCAGTCTCCTAAATAAACAAACAAAACATCAAAGCGGCCATTTGATGTCATCTCCACCCTCCCCCAATCCCGTGGGAAAAAGGAAATGGAGCCATTGGGTGACACCTGTGGTGACAGGTGAGAGGTGGTCCGGGGGGAGCGGTGGCAGGGGTGGCCAGCCGGAGAGACCTCTGCAGGGGGAAGGTCCGGAGCAGCCCTCTGACTGGACCTGTTCCCTCGGAAGGCGCCCCGTGTAGACTCGGAACCGCCCCCCGTGTCTGAGTCAGACGGTGCTGCGTGGTGGCTGCTAGTCCGACACGCGGACAACAGCGAGGCCTGGAGACAGAGCCCGCCCCGAGGGAGAGACCTGTCAGCGGCTCCGTCCGCACCCTGGACGCTCCGCAGACACCGGGAAGGGGGGGGGGGGGGCACTGACTGTCCATGCGGAAGGCAGCCATCCTCCGGTGTGACGATTCAGAAGCACAGCCTTAGCCTCGGGAGTGGACGCAAGAGAGGGACTTCTGGACGCCCACAGCGAAGGCCTGTCCAACGGGATGGCCTTTGGCCGGAGCCGCAGGTGGGAAACTCCTCACCCACCCTTTCCTGCCCCCGTGGGTTTCTCATCACGTGCCCAGAGAATTTTAATGTTTACAAGGGCACCGCGCCCTAACCACTGTGGCTCAGTGGTAGAGCGTCGGCCTGTGGAATCAAGGGTCCCAGGTTCGATTCCGGTCAAGGGCATGTACCTTGGTTGCGGGCACATCCCCAGTGGGGGGGTGTGCAGGAGGCAGCTGGTCGATGTTTCTCTCTCATCGATGTTTCTAACTCTCTATCCCTTCCTCTCTGGAAAAAAAATCAATAAAATACATTTTTTTAAAAAATAATAAAATGGCACCAGCTTCGAGCCTGATTTTGTTTCCTTCTTTACACCTCTCCATATCAAAAGCAGCAAAACCCAAGGGTTCACATGTTGCAAAACAAAACCTCTCGCTGCCCAGGGGGAAAGTCCGTGTCCCTGAACGCACGCCGAGGTCTCGTGGCGCCAGCCAGCCGCTGGCTCCCCTCGGGTGTCCCGACTCCTGGGTCTTCCACGGCCGACCCCACCACCTCCCACACCCCGAAGCCCGTGCTCTCTCCTGCCTCCAGGCCTTCGCCGTCCCAGCTGCTTCGTGCTGTCCCCTTTACCGGAAGTACTCCGCCCACCACCCCTTCACTCTGCTCCATCCGTCCTCAGCTAGCGGCAGGGGCCAGCCCCGTCCCCCCCACCCAGCGACCATCCTGCCCTGCCAGGCTGGCTCCCGGCACCCTGGCCGGTGCCCCTAGACGCCGCCAATGGCCTCCCACTGGCCAGTCCCCCTCACTACCTCACAACGGCCTTGAAGGCAAAGCCAAAGGCGGAAACCGGTTTGGCTCAGTGGCTAGAGCGTCGGCCTGTGGACTGAAGGGTCCTGGGTTCGATTCCGGTCAAGGGCATGTACCTGGGTTGTGGGCACATCCCCAGTAGGGGTTGTACAGGAGGCAGCTGATGGATGTTTCTAACTCTCTATCCCTCTCTCTTCCTCTCTGTAAAAAATCGACAAAATGTATTTTTTTAAAAAGGCAAAGCCAGGGCCAGGCATCCAGGGCCCAGCGCCGTGCCTGGCCCACGGGAAGCTCCATCCGCTTCTGAACCGACAGTGACTCCTGGCCTGGAGGCGCAGACAGACAGCTGGCACCGCAGGCTCGGCCCCCGCGCCGGCCTGTGTGTGGGGTGGGATTCCCGGGCCCGACCCCAGACGGCAGGCCTCGGCCTCGGAGGCAATCTGGAGGGGCAGACAGACAGCCCGCGCGGCTCCAAGGTGGCTTTTATTTCCTCTCCTGCGGGTGCCAAGTCCCTGAGCAAATATTTTCCTGGAGTGGAGGAGCGGCTCGGCTCCCGCCTTAAGTGCTGGAAACGCTGCCATCGGGCCGGGCAGGTTCCAGGAACCGAGGGAGACGGGGTCTGGCTGCCGCTGGAGGAGGAGGGCCATGAGGGCTGCCGGCCGGCCGTGCCCACCTCCTGGCTGAGGAGGGGCCGCTCCTCCACCCGCCAGGCCCGGCCGGGAAGCCACGGCGGCTCCGCTCAGCACACCTTGCACGAGGCTCTGCCTGGGCCTCCCTGCCATAAATCAGAACCCTCTGGGACCCTGAAGAAAACGCAGGCCCTGTGGGCCCCCTCATTCCTGCCGTTTAAAGGAACTAATTGGCATCTCAGAAACCCTTTCATAAGCTTCCCCGCCCCCACTCCCCCTTAGCGTTATTACAGAATAACATACAGCGTACACTCATCGTACGTGTATGACTTGGTGGTTTATTTACCTATACATACACCCTGGTAATCACCGCCTCCATCAAGCCGGAGAACATTCCAGAGCGCCTTTCGGAGAAGGTGCCTCCGAGGGCCTGCCTGGACAATACCACACCCCCCACTCCCACCCCACCCCCCGCAGGGGTTCCACCGGCTGCCACGGCCATCCACGTGCTGGGCCTGCGAGTGGGAATTGTGCAGTGCGGGCTCCTGGGCGTGGCCCGGGAGGCACAGAGGACGGAGTGCCTCTCCCGGGAGAAGCTTTGGGCCCATCCTGGAAGCTGAGCCCCGATCTAGGAGAGCAGGGCAGGCACCCCAGGGAGGGAAGGTGGGAACAGGAGGGCCCGGTGCTGCGTCACCAGGCCCCGCGCACCGCCCAGCGCCGGGCGACGCCTCCCCGAAGGCGACCGGGAGGGACACCGCCGGCCCAAGAAGACACGCGACCACACGGCAGCCCAGATCGACAAGTACCGTTTATTCGGGTTACAGGAGCCGGCCCAGCCACAGGCCCGGCGCTGTCCCAGGGCCCGCAGAGGCGAGCTGGGTCGCAGACCCCTTCCCCACCCCCGAGCCGCGTCCAGCCACACGTCCCGGGGCAGGAGGTGGTCCCGGGGCCGAACATGGGGCACGGGCGCCCCTCCTGGGGCGGCGCGTCTCTCCGAGTCACCCCTACAGAGCGGCTGGAAGGCCGTCAGATTAAATAAGCGAGTACAGGGGGTTCCCAGAAGCCCGCGGGGGCCTCTGCTCCCACAGAGGTGTGAGGGGGGCCGTCCCAGGCGTCTGCGAGGCCGGCCGGCCGTGGCTCCCGGCCTGGGTGGCCGTGACCGCGGGTCAGGCAGGCTGTGGTGGGGGCGCTGCAGGTCCATTATCTGCTGGCTGAGGAGACGATGCTTTGAGCTTGGCGACGCGTTAAGTGTATGTCGGAACGTACGCGACCTTGGCTGAACCGACCGACCTCCAGAAGAATATTAGCAAACAGACAGACAAACAAAACCAGGGCGACTCTGGCCCCGGAGTCCCACCCTGGGGCGGCTGGGGTGGGGTGGGGGGGGAGGGGGGCGAAGGCACAGAGCCCTTAGTTTCCGAGCATCGTGGCGGTGAGAGAAAAGGGTGTCACATCCGCTGGCCAGCAGAGAAGAGGCGCAGGCCGCAGCGCTTGTGTGACCACTGACATTACAGTTTATTACATCGGGAGAAGCCACTGTACAGGGGAAAACCCATGGGATTAAGTAAGAGTTTTGCCAAAAGCAAAAGACTATCCCTCCTTGGAGCATTCTGGATCCCAGCCGGGCCAGGGCCGCCGGAGTTCATGGAAGGTGAGCCCAGCCCTGGGGAGGGGCTCGGGGGCCAGGTGTGCCCGGGGTGCCTCTGGTCACCCCTCCCGAGGAAGCGTCCCCGGAGATGGTGCCAGAGAAAGAGCCAGGTCTTCGGGAGATTCCTGGCCCACCGGCACCTGGGACCCCACCGCCCGCCCTGGTCCCAGCCAGAGGCTCCGGGACTCGATCCTCCCGTGGGCTCCTCCCCCGGCCGAGCTCCCGGGCCCGGGCAGGCTGCTCCATTCAAGTGATGGCCTGCAGCGGCCGAGGCCGGCCAGCCCCCGACGGGGCAAGCCAGCCATCCCTACCCGGTTGCACACGTGAGCGGCAAGCGCAGAGACCGCACTCGGCCTCCAGATTTGGTTCTCCTGGTTTAAAAAAAAAAAAAAAAAAAAGTCTTCTGAACACCCTGATGCTGCATCCTGACGGTGGATTAGGGAAGCAAGGTGGGGGAGTACCCAAACCAGCTCAACTTACATCAGAAGTAGTAACGTCTACCGGGCTAGGATCAAAGAAACTAGAGGAGAATTGTGCAAAAACAAGTTGGTGTCTACGCCAGCCCTCCCCCCAAAACCAAGCCCCGAGCTCCTCTCCCCGCCATGCAAGACGGTGAGTCTCTCCCAGTAAGTGCTACGGGAGCGCCAGCCCTCAGCCCCCCCCAGCGGGCCATCCAGGTCCACAGCGGAGGGGTGTGCCCCTCTCCAGAGCTGCTCCAGGCTGGAGAAACTGAGTCAGGCAGCGAGGTGCCAGGCTCTGGCTGGGGTGCAGAGGTCAGAGGCGGAAAGCCCTCGCCCCAGGCTCCAGGCGGCAGTCGGAGAAGCGGAGGAGAGAGCCCCCCGCCCGCCCAGCACCCCGGGGGGAGGCGGCCGGAGGGGCTGGGAGCACGGGGGCGGGGGGGAGGCGGCCCGGGGAGGCCGCCGGCCTGCAGTTCTTCACGAAAGAGGCAGAGGGGGCCAGGCGAGCGGCGGAGGGAGGGGGGGCGGCTCCTGTCAGGCGTAGAACTCCTCCTGCTTGCTGGGCTTCTGGTAGGCCCCGCCGTTGGCTTGCTTGGGCTCCTCCAGGGAGTAGCTGCCCTCGTCCTTCTTCTTCATCCGGTACAGCATGAAGCCCACCAGGCACACGGCGCAGATGAGCCCCACCAGGCCGCCGGCAATGACCCCTGCAGGGCGACAGAGGCCAGCTCAGCGCGGCTGCTCCTGCTCCGGGCAGCCCCCACGCCAAGGCCAGAGACCGAACCCACACCCCCAAAGCAGCCGTCTGCCCTCCGTCCCACCACCCACCCGAGAGAACACTCACCTCCCAGCACTTCCTTCCTGTCCAGGAGGCCCTGCGAGGCCCCGGTGGCCTCGTTGGCCCTGCCATCCACTTCCCTTGGGTTCTCTGGCTCCTCGGGAGCCCCAGTGGTGCTCTCCGCGGACACGTCGAAGGTGAAGTCCTTTGTGGGTACGGGGGGGGGGGGGGGCAGGGGCAGGATCAGGCAGGGTGGCCGCGTCCAGGCCCATATCCAAAGCCAGAAGCGGATCAGGCTTCCCCAGTCACAGCTGCCACTCACTCAGACAACACCCAACCCCATAAGTCCGGGGTTGGGTATTGAACTTGACCTCCAAGCCAGCTGAACTTGACCTCCAAGCCAGGCCCCTCCCACCACATGGTACTGGACTGTGGCGGAGGTATGGGCACGAATATGAAGCCCGAGTTTCAAAATGAAAATAAACAGGCTCGCTTTAGGGGATGGGAATGGGGAGATGAGGACAATTATGTGATACCAGAATCAATAAAAAAAAAAGGCTCGCTTTTGCGCCATGGCTCTCCACCTTCCTGATGCTGCGATCCTTTCATGCAGCTCCTCATGCGGGGGTGACCCCCAACCATACAGTTATCTTCGTCGCTACTTCAAATCTGTCATGTTGCTACTGTTATGAATCGTCGTGTAAATATATGTGTTTTCCCACGGTCTTGGCGCCCCACAGGTTGAGAACCGCTGCTGTGGAGCCTAAGGCCGTTGGGAAACACGGATGTTTACGTGACGACTCATAACAGCAGCAACATGACAGTGATGAAGTCGCAAGGAAGATAATCTTATGGCTGGGGGTCACCACCACGTGAGGAGCTGGATTAAAGGGCCGCGGCATTGGGAAGGTGGAGAACCACCCACCGCGCCCCTAACGGACCCGCATGAACCCGGGAGAAGGGCCCATTGCAGCAGGGGCCTTGCGGGGGCCTGGGGGGCCCTGGTGGTCGGTCTGGGAGGGCTCTTGCCCTCTGGCCGCATTGCTTTACTCTGTCCCGCTCGCTCCCGCTCCAGCTGTGGGGCGAGGGGAGGCGGGACCTCATGACCTCGTCTTCGCCGTGGGGAATGGGATGTGCCGGGTATGCCAGGCCACCAACCACTGTCCCCGCCCCACGCCCTGTGCCCACAGGGCCCCCATCGTCCCAGGAGGCACAGCGCGCAGCGGCCGGCACTCACCTCCTCCCCAGAGCCCTCTCCTTTGGGAACCTGGGTGGCAGGCCCGGCCTCGGCAGTCCTCCCGGTGGCCGAAGGACCCCTCTCTTCCGTGACGGTCGTGTGAGGGTCAGCAGGGTGAGGATCGAGCGGGCCAAGGCCCTCGGGGGCCGAGGTCTCGTGGTGGTCAGGCTGCAGGGCCCTGACGGGATGCCAGCTGACAACCGCCTGGGCAGTGGTGGCTCTGGCTGTCGCTGCCCGGTGGGTGGTGGGGTGCGGCGTGGTCTCGCTGGGCGGGTGGGTGGTCTGCTCCCGGCTGGGAGAGCCAGGTTCCATGTTGGCCAGGAGCGCCCTGTCTCGCTCCTGCTCTCCCGCTCCGGCGGGCAGGATGGAGGTGGCGGCGGCCGTGGAATCGTCGCCGGTGGGCTCTGGGGCCGTGGGCATGGCGGTCAGGAGCCCCACGTCCCTCCAGGTGAAGGAGGTCGGCTGTGACACGGCGAAGTCCTGCAGAGGGCCTGCGGGGCCAGAGCAGAGCGGGTTGGGGTGGGGGAGGCCGCAGAACACCTACGCCAGCCGGGCTCAGGCTGTGAGGGCCCTGGGCGGGTCCAGTGCCCCGGCTAGCACAGCCAGCTCTTCCTCCGGGGAGCTCTGCCCCGGAAGCTGAACTGGACTCTGGGGAATGAAAAGAGCTGCCTCTAGCCGAAACCGGTGTGGCTCAGTGGATAGAGCGTCGGCCTGCAGACTGAAATCGTCCCGGGTTCGATTCTGGTCAAGGGCGTGCACCTTGGTTGCGGGCACATCCCAGTAGGGGGTGTGCAGAAGACAGCTGATCAATGATTCTCTCTCATCGATGTTTCTAACTCTCTATCGCTCTCTCTTCCTCTCTGTAAAATATAATTTTTAAAAAAGAGCTGCCTCTGTCTGCTGCCTGTGCCTCAGGACGGCCTGGTTTCGGAGCCAAGAGACACTAAGGCCGCCTGGGAAGAAGCCTTCCCGCACTGGCCGCAGCCCGCTGCCGGGCTGGGGTGTCCTCAGGGCCTGGGTCCCCCTGCAGACCCCTCTGGCCCCTCCGTTACACCTGCTCTCTCCGCAGAAAGGCCCAGCTCCCGCGGAGCACAGCCTCTGCCCTCTCTCCCCACCCCCCGGACCTGCCCAGGCCCCTTTCCCCAGGGCTGGCCTCAGCTCTCTCCTGAGGTCCAGCCCCAAAGCACCCCCTACGGGGGGCCTCCCTGGCCCCCCTGCTAACTCTTTAGAGGGGACGTGGGGAGGCAGGGGGACGTTTATACAGATACACACCCCACCTGGCTCTGGGCTGCCTCACAGCTCGTTCCCAGCGGCCTTGTGAAGTCAGGACATCATTCCCATTTTACAGATGAGGAAACAGAGGCTCGGGGAAGTCAGACAAGCTTCCGAAGGCTGCCCAGTGAGTGGAGAGGAGAGGAGGAGCCCACGTCTGTCTGCAGAACCCACCCCTATCTGTCCGTCCATCCTCGCCAATACATGTTTCCTCCTGGCGACTCGAGCCCCATCCTTCCTCCCGGCATCCCCACTTGGGCCCAGCCGGGGGGCTGCCTGGCCGCCGGCCTGGCCCACAGCCTGCCGCTCACCTGCTCCCGAGCCCGAGAAGTTGTCAGAGTCATCGCCGGAGCCATCCTGGTCTTCGGGGGGCACGTTTGTAGCCACCATTTGCTGGAAAGGGACCGGAAAGGAGTCTGAGTGGAGGCTTGCCAGAGTGCTGAGCCCATCCCCCCTCGCCTGCCCAAGGCCAGACCCCCCACACCCGAACCCCAACCATCTCCCATCCACGCCCACGGCTGCTCTCACAGCACAGGAAGGAGCTTTGGTGGGTGTCTCAGGACCCTCGGCGCTGGGCAGGCTTTGCGCACACTCCTGCACACACACACACACACACACACACCTCCTAACGCTATGACAACACCGTCCTGCCAGGTGTTGGGATGCAGAAGCACACGAGAGGGGAGCTCCGTTGGTGAAAGAGCCCATGCCTCGGAGTGCAGACAGAGACGCCGTTCCCGGGACACGGGCTGTGGCTCCCGCGGGGTCCCCCCCCCCTCGCCCAGCCCACACTGAGAACAGCTCATGGGGCCTCTGGCCAGGAAGCGTGGGGGCCGAAGCCTGGGGCTTTCGGGGACCCCCAGGAACAAGGACACGATGCCCTGGCTCCAGAAAGACAGCCCCCGGCTGTGCTGGGGACCAGGGTACCGACGCCGAGGGCCCCGTGTGGCAGGCGGGCGGGGGGCAGAGAGGGCACGCGCTGAGATGTCTGTGCCAGGGCGGGTGTGGCCACCGCTGGGTCAGGCCCTCTTGGGAACGGGCGAGGCTGACCCAGAGGGGCCTGCTCCCCGGAGGCCCCTGGAATGGGCCCTGTGGGGAGCAGCCATCCCCGGCAGGCTGCCCGCGTGGCCCGGAGGCGGTCGGTGCCAGTGGTCCTGAGGCAGGGCCCACAGCAGGACCGGGGAGCAGGCCAGAGGGAGGTGGACGCTGCACCCAGGCCGAGTGGGCACGCGCAGTAACCGGCTCCAGGAGAGCAGGTGGGGAAGGGAGGGCCAGCGGCCAGCTGGCGGGAAGGGGAGCTATGTGTCCCGTTAGGCAACAAGACTTTGACCCAAACACCCCTGTCAGGCAGCCTGTTTCGAAAGGACCCAGCATCCGAGCCAGAACCCAAAAGGGGCAGAGAAGCAAACCGGCACCCAGGTCAGGTTGGGAGAGCCCTCGGCCTTTGCCAACGCCGGCGAGTGGTCCTGGGGACATTGCTAACCCCTCCTACAGCCTCAGTCTCCCCATCTGTAAAATGGGGCAACAGTCCATTCCAGGATGACTGCAGAAATCCAACGAGGCCATGCCCGCGGAGAACCTAACGGAGGCTGGCCGGCTGCGGGCTGCCGGAACCCAGCTCGGGGCGGGGGCCGTGGGGCCGGGGGGCCTGTCTGGGAAGAGAGGAGATAGAGGCGGGTGGCGTTTCAGGAGGAGAGGGGACAGGACAGGAGAGCACGGTTTACAGGAGGTTCTGTGCAGAAGGCAGCCACCCCCGGAGGCTGGGCTTCAGCGAACGGGCCTGCCTGCCAGTTCCTGGCCACGGCCACCCTTGTGCCGGAGCTGGACCAGGCGGGGCTTCCCATCGGGGAAGCGTCAGACACGTGCGGAAACCGCTGGGCGAGAAATACCACCGTGCTTCCCTTCAAAGTGCAAGACCCACACTGTCCCTCCCCCGCCCTCCCAGGACAAGGGCTTCGGCCCCGGAAAGACCTGAGCTGTCCCGGCCCAGCTACAGCGAGCAGCGTCCCTGTCCGCCCCCTGCACCCCCGACCCCATCTCCGTCTCTACTGTCCCATGAGGCTTCCAACTCCGGTCCCGCCTCCGCAGAGCCCCTCCCCCCGAGGCAGGCTCAGAGTGAGGACCCCCCCCACCCCAGCAAACTCCCAGCCAGGCCCAGGGCAGCCTGCTCCCAATGGGCAGCTGGGGGTGGGGGCGAGCCTTCAGGGGACCCACCCGCTGAGACCCAGTCCCCCCTCGCCCAAGGCCTCTGCCCACCCTCAGGCCCTCCGCTGTGCTGAGGAGGCCCTGGGGGTGAGCCAATGCCCGGAACCCAGTGCCCCCCCCATCCTGCCCCCCGCCAGAGGAAGCTGGATGTGGGGCGGGGCCAGGCCTCCATCCAGAGACAGGGTCTTCCAGACATCGAAGCGAGGCCGGCAGAGAACTCAGCACCCCGGGCACCTACCCTGCCAGCCTGGGAGGCCCCACCCGAGAGCCAGGCCAGTAAACGCCAGGGAGGCGCAGCCTCTCCCCTACACGGAGGGAGAAGCCACAACAGGCTCGCAGTTTCCCAAGAGGGCCTCTCCGAACCAGATAAGGCTCCGGATCTGCCCCATCCCCGAAAGAAAACAATTTGTCTCCTCAGCCCCGCTAGGCTTATCCCTCCGTGGATCTTGTTTACACAACAAGCTCTTAAGCAAACACTTTCTCCACTGAAACCCGCTCCCAGGCCCCGGGCACCTCTCCCTGCAGGGCCCGGGCTCCCAGCCCTCAGCGGGGAAGGCTCTGGCCGCCTCCGTCCCGGCTCCTGGTGCTGCCGCCTCCCCGGACGGACGGCCTCAGCTCCCCGGGGAGGAAATCAGCAGAAACTGCTGAGTTTGAACTTGGATCGCCAGCTGCCAGCTGCCTGGGGTGAGACTGGTTTCACTCAGCATCCTCTGTGCTAAGGACGTGTGGCCTGTGCGGGGCCCTGCCTCTGACGCTGGCCTCCCAAAGGACCCCGAGGCCGGGGGGTGGGGCTCCTCAGGGATGGACAGGCCGGCCCGGCCTGGAACCCACCTGGGCCGGGAAGAAAGGCCAGCCAGCCATACCTTCCATGGGGCCCGTGCTCATCTCTAAATCCCAGGGAACTCAGCTTCTCATACAAAAAAAAAAAAAAAAAAAAAATCAAACCCTGGCTGAAACCAGTTTGGCTCAATGGATAAAGCGTCGGCTTGGGGACTGAAGGGTCCCGGGTTCGATTCCGGTCAAGGGCATGTACCTTGGTTGCGGGCATATCCCCAGTAGGGGGTGTGCAAGAGGCAGCTGATCGATGACTCTCTCTCGTCGATGTTTCTAACTCTCTCTCTCCCTTCCTCTCTGTACAAAATCAATAAAATATATTTTTAAAAAAATCAAACCCTGGTGGTAAACCGAGGCCGAAACCGCCACGTCCTCAGCACAGACCCTGGGAGGCCCGCCCGCCTGAGGTCTGGCTGTGGGGGGGTTGGGGTCTCGGAGACAGGAGAGGGTCTGAAAGCAGGCCGTGCCCGACCCCGCGGTCTCCGGAGCACCTGCCGTCCGCACCTGCCGTCCCTGCCCCCCCATCCCCCAGCCCGCAGCCAGCCCCAGGAAGCACCTGCCGGCTGGCCCATCTGTCTTAGAGCAACTTGCCTAAGCTTTTCAACATGGCCAGTGGCCCCAGAGAGCGTCCTTGTGTAAGAATCCCTGCCCCTGCCCCAGAGGCCGGGCGGGGGGCAAAGGTGCCAGCCCAGATGCCAGCGGTGGGGAGGGAGGGCACGGACGAGCGCGGGGTCACAGCTGCCCAGGGCAGAGTCTTCCTCAGTCAGCGGCCAGCCGCTCCCAAGAGCAGGTGGCGAGTCTGTGGCTGGAAGGCTGGCAAAGCAGCATCGAGAGGCAGCCGCACGCCGAGTCCCGGCAGCTCGCACCCACACCAGCCACACAGAGGGGCCCCGGGGCCGGGTTCTCCCCCAGGGCACCTTGGGCACGAAAGCCCTTCGGCAGGATCGCAAGGCAGGGCACCAAGCGGGCATCTCAGAGGTTCAATCAAGCGAGGCGCTTCGAGCTCTGGGGTGACCGCTCCCCGACCCCCACACCACCCTGTCACCTGCAGCCAGCGGGTCCCCAGCCCAAACCCTGAGTCACCAACGTGCACGTCACCTGCAGCCTGACTCAGCGATGGGTAAACCACAGGCCCTTTCAGAAGCACCACCGAGCCCACACAACCGACTGAGGTGCCCTTCCGCCTCCCGATGCTGAGTGAGGAGCCTGCCTTGGGTCTGGGACAGGCCCCCAATTCCTCACGGTGGGGGCACCCTCCAGGGGCTTCGGGGAGAAAGGCGGGTGGGGAGATGGCCGGGGCCTGGCCCCCCACACCAGGAGGCTCCCGGAAAAGGAGGCTGCAGAGGCTGGGACACAGAGAGCCCCCCTACAGGGGCCGCCAGGGCCAGGCCTTGAGACCCCCGGGCGGGCGAGGATAAGACCCACTCAGCCCGCGTCACTAACCTAGGCAGCGCCAGGGCTCAGGGGTCCGTTGGCCATCGCTGCCCTCACCGTGGAGCTGGGGGGCACGGACCCCTATTCCAGCAGCTCAAGAAGCAGGAAACTAAGACGCCTCGGTCCTGATGCCAGCCTGGGCCTCCATCCTGCTGGGCCAGGCCAAACACGGCCACCTTTTCTTCTTCCTCTTCCTCCTCCCCCCTCTCTTCTCCCCGCCCCCCTTCAGGTGTTCCAGGCAGTGAACAGGGTTGGGGAGGGGAGCAAGGGCCTCTGGGGTGGCCGCCCCGGGCTGAGGCCCAGGCTCTGCTGCCTCGCTGGGCGACCCCAGCAGCTCCCTCCCTGGCTCTGGATCCTGGCTGGAAAACCCAAAACTGCCCTAGGGCTCCGACAGGCTGGCATCTGGGTGCAGAGGCCCCAATTCCTGTCCTTGAGGCCAGAGAGCTGTGGGTGATCAGCTGGTCACAAACAGCCACGCCGGGGTGGGTGGGAGAGGGCGGGACAGGCCCGGGGCCCCAGGGCTCAGGGTGTCCCGATGGGAGTGGGCCCATCACCTCCTCTCCCGAGACTTCTTTCCTGACCGGGGAGCTGCCAGGAGGCAAGCAAGGCCCCTGAGGAGGCACAGATTCCGCTGTGGCCTCCAGACCCTTCAACCTGCCCCCTGCACCAGCATTCTGGCCTGACAGGCAGTTATTTATCAGCTCCGTGTCTCTCCACCAGAGTCAAGCTGGGGCCTGCAGAGGGGGCGATGGGACTGGCCCGGGTGGGAGGGGTCTGGGGAGCAGGCAGGTTGCCCTCCTCCCTGAGACAGGCTTCCCTAGCCCTCCCCCCCTAAACAAAACCCTCAACCCCCCTGAGCACTTCCACTGGGAGGAGTGTCTTACCTTCTGGGCACCGGACCCCTACCCTCCACCCCCCCC